TTTGCAGCTAATAAATACCTACAGCTATTCAGCTAGGTGACATTATAGGATAACAGTGCCCTTTTCTAGAGAGAGAGGAAAGATAGTTGGCCAATATGAACTGACCAGGGCTGGAGCTGGTCTGGAAAGAGATTTATAATGAGCAGCTGGAAAGGGTGTGGGGAACAAATGAACTTCAAAGGAAGATCTAAGAGAAATGCGGGAAAGTTGTTACTACCCACATGTGGGGGCTGTTGAAAGATACAGGAAGGGAGTCTGGTTCTGGAGGGAGAAGCTGAAGAAAAGCAGGAGAGGGGCTTAGTTTTTGCTAAGGGCCCCAGGGTGGGGCCCTTAGCAAGTTTTCCAGTGAACTTGTTAGTAATAAAACAGAGGCTGACTGGTATTGTGAGTTAGCATTCTGATGAAAGATGAAGGGGGTGTTGCAAGACTTACGTTGCAAAACCTGTAGAAGTGTGTATGAGCGCCTGTCAACTGTGTTTGAAGCCCTTTGTACACGATGGGAAAAATGTCAGGTAGGGTAGGAGGCTTATAAATACTGGTGAAAGGTAGGAGATCTCTGGAAAGGGTGGGACCTGGTCAGAAGGCTAGATAGTCCACTGTGTGTCTGTGTGATGGTAAGGGAGGAAGAAGTCACAGTGGGCTGATCTATGTATCCTGGTACCTTATGTTTGTATTTAGTAATTCCACCTCCCAGACAGAAAGCCCATTTCAGAGGGACTGAAGAATCTTTCAGTAAGATTTAAAACTATGAGTGAATGGCACATAGCTCAATTATATTGTACCAACACATCTAATGTTGATAACATTTTTGTGTACCCCATGCTGGGTATACTTCTGCTTTCGCTCTCTCATTCCCCCCTTCTCTGCAGGATTGATTGATTTATTTTAACGAAAGGCTGAGGAAGGGACCCAAAACCAGCTTCCCAAATAGTTTATTTATATTTGAGGAGCTACAGATGATGACATGGCTGAGATTTGCCATATTTTTTAGGAGGCATAAGTTAAGTATTATTTTGCAGTGATTGTATGACTCTGGCCCCCTTTACATGTGCAGGTGAAGGCACAATCTGGGATCTAATGCGTGATCCACACAGTTGTGTCTCCTGCTCTACCACACGTGCATGGCAGAAGGTGTGATTGTAGGATTGCACATTAGATCCCAGCATGTCTTATTGCCAATGCAGGGGGAGCCCAGGATTGGCTCCCCCTGCACTGGCAAGAAGCAGACTGCTGCAGCTGGGAGTCCCTCAGCTGAGCGGCTTCCAGCCACAGGGGCACCTCACATATCCTTGTGGCTGGGAGATGCAGCTGCTATGATCTCTCAGTCTGGGGGCTGCATGAGGTCCCCGAAGCTGGAAGGCTGTGGCAGTTGTGATCTCCCTGTCCCAGGGGTTTCACACCCCCCCAGGCTGGGAGATAAGAGTCATGCCCTGTGGCTCCTGGGACCCAGCTGGGTCCCAGCACTGAGAGGTGCACTGCTAGGACCCAGTGTCCACAGCTGAAGGGTGCTACTTGGACTAGAGGGGGACCAAGTTTGCAACATTACTGTGGTAGTGTTAAAATTGTTACATATAATTAATGTTGGGATTAAGTAATTTACATGAACGTGTGTTTAATAGCAGATTAAATCTAGTATAGATTCTTTCTTCTGCCTTTGGTATTCTGGTCTTTCTAAATGCCTACATATAACAAATATTCTGTTTGTAAGATTTGACTTTTGGTTTACTCAAGTGACATTATCCCATAGCACCTAACACAAGTTTTATATTTACATTTTTTAGCTTTTGGGAAGGGAAGAGTACCTCAAACATCACTGTTTGAAAAATGCCAAGTAAGTTGTGAGCTGAGATTCTCACTGTTTATGCTTAATTCTGCTCCTAAGGTTTCTGTTTTTTTTCCTCTATCTCTTGCCTCTGTCTATATTAGCAATTTTGCATCTTGTATACAATTAGATTTTAATATATCTGTGGTAGGGACTTTCCTAGTTTGTTTCAACAATTAATCTGGAACAGATGGCACCTAATCTTTTTTGGATTGGTGCCTCTTATGAATAATATAACAACAATTGAGACTTAGAGGAACCTTGGTTGGGGGGCTGATTACAGTGTCTGCCGCTCCCAGGGCTACAGCAGGGGCGGGCAGCAGCCTGCGGTGGGATGAGAGTGGGCTGGGGACGGTGGCTGCTGCAGGCTGGGGCCAGTGGTGGCACCACACTCTTCCCAGCGCTTGGCATCGGTACTGGGAGGGTAGGTTGTGGGGAGCTATGGCAAATTTTGGGGTGGCAGCAGCCGCCCTCCCATTGCTGCAGCCCACCCTGAGCACTGGGAAGATACTGGTGCCGCTGCCAGTCCCAGCCTGTAGTGGCCACTGTCCACAGCCCGCTCTCGTCCTGCTACAGGCTGCTGCCTGCCCCTGCTGTAGCCCTGGGAGTGGCAGACACTGCCTGCTTGCAGCCGCTGGGCTGCACCACAGTGTGGGGTTCAGGGCACGGTGCAGCCCAGTGGCTGCAAGCAGCTGGTGTTGGCCAGTCCCAGGGCTGCTGCAGCAGGAACTGCAGTGAGTGGAGAAAAGTGGAGCAGTGGGCTGAGTGGGGCTGCCACCCAGCCTGAGCATCGCAAAGAGCCTGGTGCCACCCTTGCTGCCACCCTGGGAGCAGCAGTCGTTCTTGTCCCACTGCAGATGGCTGCCTACCCCTGCTGCAGTCCTGGGAGCAGTGGATGCTGCCTGCTTGCAGCCACTGGGCTATGCTGCGCCGGGGGATTCAGGGCATGGAGCCCCAGGGGGTTTGGGGCATGGTGCAGCCCAGCAGCTGCAAGGAACTGGCATCAGCTGCTCCCAGAGCAGCTGCAGCAGGGGCTGCGGTGAGTGGGGCCCTGGCCCCACAACCCTTTCCCCTCCCCTTACCCATCCCCTCCACTCAAGGCCCTTTCCCCTCCCCTCTCAGACTTACTTGCTTGGGGGAGGAGGGAGTGCAACTATGCCAATTGTATAACAGTGAATTTACCTTGCACATAATGAATTTCAGGTATAAAAAGAGTCATTGCATAAGAACAAATTAGCATAAATTGAACCCACATAAATTGAGGGAAACCCGTATATGAAAGGGCCTCAGACAAATTTTAAAAAAAGATTCTCCTTTAAAGGAAAGATCTGTGGGAAACAGTAGCATTTCCATTGCAGGCTGGCAGTGTTCCAGCCTGCCAGGGGCTGCTTGGTCTCCCCCTGCCCCACACACCTACCTCCTCTCCCACATACTGGGGGGCTGGACCCTAGGGCTGGGGGGGGCAGTGAACAGGGAGTGAGGAGCGCTGGGTTGAGACTGGTCATCAATGTTTACAAATGGGTCCCGGTACAAAAAAGTTTGAGAACCACTGTTCAAGATCCATGTGCAGCAGCACACCTGACAGGGCTGATACCAGCGTTACCAGGTCTTCATATAAAATTATCATATTGGAAGCTCAAAACTATTGTATTTGCTGAAAAACTATCGTACACCGAAAAAATTAGCAAATAAGTATGCACGTAAGTCTTATTTACTTTATTTTGTTCACTGTAACATGTCAGTGAGTGAGAACTGGTTCATCAAAGTTGAAACATTTCTTTATTTTGAGGCAAGCTGTCATAAGAAAGTGCTGACAACAAACCCTAAAGTTAGTTTAGTTTTCCTGAGTGATTTCAGCTTGGGCCTGAACTAGAATGCCTGCCAATGGATTTGGGAGTATCGGAAGTCCCAGGGTGAGAGCCTGCTATGGAAGATGCTCACAGGTCGTAGCACCACCCGTGGTGTTAGAGCAATTGAATCCTGGATTGGTATGGGTTTGGGAACAATTGAGCTCTGCTCTATTGATACGATTTGGAACGGATTTAGGTGATTTAACCTGGAACACAAAATACATTAATAATAATTTTTTTTTTCCAAAAGTCAGTTTGGTCTCCCTGAGAGTGCTTTGGGTTTTGCATTTGTTGTGTCAATTAGCTGTCTCCAAATTTTTTCTGCAGCTATCTAATTGATGTAATAAAAGATATCACCTCTACCAAGAGTTCTGATTGCTTTTGCCTGTGGATCAACACAGCTGCAACCCGTATTTCCAAAATGATCGTGCATTTTGAGCCTGTTGCCTAGTATCGATCATACATTGTTCAAGGGTTAGAATTATCCTACAAACACAATAATTATTGTACTTCTGACAACACTAACAGGTGCTGTACAGTGTACCCCTGACAGGCTCTCACTGCACCCCAGGCTGTGGCAATGCGACCCCTGGTTGAGCATCACTGCTCTGCGCTGAAAAGCAGGCTGAGAGGAGCAGGGATGTACTTGGTAGCTGTGTTGGTCAGAGACAAAAAGAAATGCAAAACACTAGAACTCCTGGTTCAGAGATGATCCCATTTATTAGACCCACTAAGACATTGCAAAAAAAAAAATGCAATTTTTTTTTCTACCTATGGACACTTTTTACCATCTTTAATTTTCTCTGTGCCTGAAAACGTGCAGAAATTTTTTTTATTTTTGTATCTATTTTGTTTTGCCATGTCTTAGTGGGTCTAAGACAAGGCGTCACCTCTGAACCCCGAGTGCTGCACTGCTTGCTGGGGCCGGTCCTCAAGTGACCCTCGGCGCGGGGTGACTCAGCACTCGCACGTGTGGGCGGGGCCCCGCTAGGGCTGACTCAGCGCGGCCGGGCGGAGGCGGCGCTCGTGCTCCCATCCAGTGGTTGCTACCGCCGGCCGGCCGCTGCCCCCGGCAGTCGCTGTGGCGGGGTCCACCGGGCGGATCCTCCCCTGCCGGAGGTGAGCTTGACTGGGCTTGATCGGAGCCTCCTGCGCGTGGGGTGGGGGAGCTGCTTGGAAATCAGGGCTGGCTCGTGTAGTCCCAGCCCTGCCCGGCTCGGGGCGGGGCAGCTGGGGTGCTCCGCGTGCAGGCGGGGAGGCTGCGTGTGGGGGGAGTGGTGTCAGGGCGCTGTTGAGGTGTTTTTTAAGGGGAGATCTTTGGCCCGGCTGTGCCGCTGGGATGCAGCCAGGCAGGCTTCGGGGAAGAAGGGGCTGGGTTGCCCAAGCTGCTCTGACTTGCTCCCAGCCGCATCCCAGGTCCGTTTAGAAGATCTCCACCCCCCTCTTCTAAGAAATCCTCCCTCTGCTTCAGGGAGGATCTGGAGGGATTGGAAAGCGTCCAGCGCCTTGCGGCACACAGGATTTGAGGAAGTCAGGCGCAGGAGGGAAGGCTGCAAGGACTAGGGGTTATTTGCGGGGGGAGCTTGATACCCATCTTCAAATACCCGAGGAGAGGTTGGAGATAGACTTTTCTCTGTGGCCCTAGGGAACAGGACTAGGAGCAACAGCCTCCAGCAGCAGCAGGCGAAACTTCAGGTGGAGATGAGAAGCTTTCTGACTGTGGGTGGTGGAGTCCCCATCCTTGGAAATTACCAAGAGCAGGTTAAGGAGGCTTAGTTGGGATGGTGTAGTTGGGGATGATCCCCCCTCCCACCCCCCGGCTTGAGCAGTGGGCTGGACTACATGACTTTGTGAGGTCTCTTTTTAACTCAACTTTCCTATGATCCTACTCCTGGATTGGAGATGGTTAAGATGAGTCTTAGGCAAGTTTGTTAGGAGGAGTTGGCGGTAGCCAAGGTGGGAGGGGAGATGCTTGATGAAAGTTGTGAGGTGGGAGAGGCTGTCAAATCTTGGAGTAGACAGTAGTGCATCACTTGAGCTTCTGCTGAATGGAGATGGGGTGATAATTGTAATATTGTTGTATATTTACAATTGTACATTGATAATTGGTATACACATGTGTTTGTTCTTTTTCTTGCTCTATTTTAATATGAGAGAGAAGGGTGATTTCTTAGCTTTTCCACCCAACTTATGACTAAAGTTGGATTTATTAAATAATACAGGGATATGGTGCAAAAAGCTATTTGGGAAAATATAGTAGGCATTAGCTCTGGAAGGCTTTCAGCTGTATTTTAATGTCCAGGAATTCAGTGTTTGAACTAAGTGCCATTGTAGTGTCATTTATGACTTGTTTTGGATGTCTAAACTAAGTTTCATTGCCCTTTCATTGCTTGTTTTGGATGTCCTGACTGTGTGCCTGCATGACTAAGGCATCCGTGTTTACAGTCTATTGGTTTTTTCCTTTTTATGATGTATTAAATAATTTCTTTATTTGTCAGAGAATTTTTACATCAGGTTTGTACTGCATGCTTACTAACAGTGTATCACTGAGTGCAAAAACAGTAGGAAATAGTTTTTAGAAAGTAAAATTGTAGCATGGCTATGCTTAATTATGGAATTGTCAGAAGTATTTGTAGCACAAAGAGCACAAGATTCAATATAAACCTTTGTAATCGTATAAAAATCACCATTAACCGTGTATTTGAAATAACCAAAAGTCTAATATTTTTATTAGTCAATTGATAAGACCACAGGGGTCTTAAATATTCTCTAACACTATTCATATCTAGGCAGTATTGTACAGCATGTGCAAGTCCAGAATGCTGATACTCTGATGGGATATTTTGGTAAGATGTATGTGTCTGTATTAGAACAGGTTTGTTTTGATCATTTATTTTATTTTTGGGGTGGGGAGGAGGAGGGATGTTTCGGTAAGCTTGGAGTTCGCTATGTCATGATCTGTGCAAGGAATGGGAGGAAATCCGTCCATACTCCTCCTCATTTTCTCATGAACATAATTCCAGATTGGCTCTGCTTCTGCTGATGCTCTGGGAAAGCTGCTGGAAATACAAAATTGGTATGATTTGACAGTCACTCTACGTATCAGCAGTACAAATGATCAGCCTTGTTAATTTTCTGCTCCTGCTGCCCTGTAAAGTAGAGAGTTTTATCAGCAGTCTGCATGCAAGCTTGGGAGGCAGCAAATGCTTCTCTTTTCACTTGCTAAGGTTACTTTTAATTTTAAGAGGTAGAAGCTTACCGTTTTAAGGGAAAGTAAAATTCTTCGTAGATACACAGCTGAAGCCCCTAAATTCACTAGGCCCTTTTAGGCTATGCCTTCCCTGCAGTTACCTGATCATTAAGTACCCAGGTTAGCCAAGCATCTTCACAGTAAATTTGTATATTTGTAAATCTGCATCTTTTATTCTTTCTTCCTTCAGCTATATGTCTGGGTGAGACTATCCCATGGTTCTTTCTGCAGGGATACTTTGTGCTGTGATTTTTTTTTTTTCCAGTTAGCTGTGGGAAATCTTGTGTGCCCTTTGAGGGGTTGGAGGAATTGTGGGAAGGGCAGTGGAGGACTGTCAAAACTAAATCATTTAGTTTGTGTTTGTACTGCTTGAGTAAAAGCAGAGGCTAGGTTCTAATCTACACCCCCAGCGAGGGAAGATAGTAGGGTCTTAAATCTGATCAGGAGAGAGTACCTTTATTTGTATTTGTGAGTCTTGGCATGGAGTGAAGAGAGTGTTGGACTAAAACCTGAAAAAAAGACCTTGGGTTAACTATAGATGTATGTATCCTTGAAGTCATTTTTTGCACAAGAGGTGTGCATTGGCAGAGCTATCTAAAGAAATTTAACATTAAACCTGGCAATTGCTTGTTTCATGCAATTTTTCTTCTGTATAACTGTTGTTCTGTATTCTAAGCTATACTGCTAATATAACTAGCTAGAGGATGGATTGAGCCTTGCAATCCAAGCTGCCTCTGAAAATCTATCCCAAATGGAAGTAATTTCATCAGAGAAGTCAGTAAAACATCATGTTTTTCAACTTGGCAGTACCATATTTGTTTAACTTGTCCTCATGTACATATTTTCACCTATGCACAATACACTGTCAAGACAAAACAAGAGTAAAATTTGCTATTTGAAAGATGCATTTACCCACTAATTGCACAATCCTAACATTTAAATAAATATGTTAACAGGTTCTTAAATCTTTTTGGAAAACAAGATAAAAGACTTTTCTCGCTAGAAGTTGGGTGTAGGTGCCAACACCTTGGCTCTCTTGACATGCTTTCTTCCTGCTTATAATGCATCTTACAGTTCCTATCAGAGCTATCCACATTGTTTGACATGTCCTGAGCGTGCATCTCTCTTATCAGGCCAAACAGAGCCCTTCTAAGAATTGGGACATGCCAAGTTTCAAGGAGATGGGTGCAAGTTCAACCACTTTTCACAAATGAGCCTATAACTCCACTTGATCAACCTCCTAGGTAATAGGTACAGAAACTCACGGACTCAGTATAGACTTTGGAATTCTGACAGCCGGTCCCTCACCCCCTGATGCCTCCATTTCCATTTTTACTGACTGGATTTCTTGCCTGCATCCCATGCCAGCCTCTAGCTTCTTTACTATTCCTTCCATCCAGGAACAGCACACACACACCAACTGCAGGTGCTTCCTCAGCCTGACAGGATTTTTCAGCCTGAAAGCTGACATCCCAGGAAGTTACGCTGAGCTCACCTGGAGCCTCACAACTCCACTGCAACCAGTCTCATGCCTTTTGTTGTAGCAAAGAGGCTGTGTCTCAGTTTGAGTGGTGGAGGGGAGGAACTTGCATCTCTCCTTCTACCCCCTCTTCTGTCCCTCCCTAAAGGCTTGCCAGCTGCCTTTCCAGCACGCTTCATGGTGTGTTTCTTTGTGTCTTGTCTTTGCCTTAGTGTGCTGGAAAATATGTCTCTTCTGTAATGTTATCTATCTGATTTATGTAATATATGTAGATAAGTGTATGTCTGTGTATTTATGTAGTGTGTGTATGTATGTTTGTATATATTTATGTACTAAATAAGATAAAATTATATAAATGTATGTTTTGTGTTTTCTGATATAAATTCCATATTATAATATGCAATATAATTATGCTGTGCTTCCCTGCACAGTGAATGGAACGCATACTGAGAGAGAGAGCAAGGATTTGAAAAGAATCAAAATAGACTAAACAAAAAGAGGATTTTGGGAGAGGAATAAATGGAAAGTAAATCGATCAATGAATATAATAATAAAATAAAAAGGGGATAGAAAGAAAGCAAAAGGTATTGCTGAATCCTACTTGCTAGGCTAGCAAGTAGGAAATCAGTAGTAGTAGCCTTTGTTGTCTAATGCTGCTGAGCTCCTGGAAGATAGCTCACTAACTGACTCCAAGGCAGAAAGCAGGTCAGTTTAAACAATGCTGCTTTTTATGCTGTTTTCCCATCCCTCCCCTAGAGCACTGGGATTGGAAGGGACCTCAGGGAAGGTTCACAGTCACTGGCCAGCTACACAGTCAATATCAGAGCAGTCCTTTCCCACTCCCTCTCCTTACTTTTTGTTTCCCTGCAGGCAAACCCAGTTTCAGCTTCAAAACTCGCAGTGTTTCAAACTGCCCTTGTTTCATTTCAAGGCTGTTTCGAAGCCCTTCATTTTATTTTTGATTTTGCCGTTTTGAGCTCAAAACAGCTGGTGAAATTTCACACAGCCCTACTGTTTAGTACAGTTATAATGGTACAGCAGGATCTAGTAAACCACAGGAAGAGGTTTCTGAACAGAAGCATCATAGGCATAAAGCAGGGTTCTGAAGAGATCAGGCATTTATTTGCTTGGATAAAGATCCAACTTATCCAGGCAAGTAAATGCCTGATCTCTTCAAAACTCGGCTTCTTGCCTGGTGGAGCTTTATTCCCTCTTAACAGTATGGATATTAATGGAATACATAGTTGCTTATACACATGCTTGGAGGCTGGGCGGGGGGTGTTTTAATTAGAGTGGTTCCCAGAGAGCTGCTCTAATTAAAATGCTTCACCGTCATGAGTATTAAGCCCCTGCATGTTTAAAAATGGCTATGGAACATTTTACTTAAATATTATTTGACGAGATTTAGATAAATCACCCCAATGGCCATTTTTAAACCTATGGGGGCTTATCCACGTGCCAATGAAGCCACTGTAGAGTGTTTCAATTAGAATGTGGAGCAGACTGCCTTGATGCCTTCTCATTAGGACATGAGCCAGCATGTATGTAGGCAGCTCATATGTCTACCTGTATGTTTGGGGGGTGGGGGGCGGGCACTGCCTACTCTCGTGATGTGGCTTTGTGGAACAGTACCCTGACAGTATAGAGCTGTACAGAATACTCAGTTGTGCATGTAAGCAGTTGCAG